ATACTGTCATCACACTAAGACGTTGTTCTCATCAATTAGATAGTCATACCATAATCTGAATGTCTCATTAGATTCGTTTTTGTCGTATCTGTGGCGCTTGTTCATTGTAAATATGTACATAAGCTTAGAAATAATTCTACATACATGAATATGTAGTGAGATTATTATAGAAGGAAACTGTATAAGAAAAAATTTATGCTGAATTTTGACATTCCAAAGAACAAGCGCTAATCCTTAGCACTATTTATTTATTTCTGTAGAAGCATTTTAGATTTGATGCAGTAAATACGACTCCAAAGGACTTAGGAGAAACGTCGGTTTACAGGTCTCTATAATCGGTATCCAGTACTCTCTCAAAGCAATAACTATTTTTTATAAAAATTGTGACATTTTACATATGCAGACAGTTTGATATTTTTCTCATTGTTATAAAATTTCCAATATTAAAAATTTGTAGTCCTAAAATGTCCAATATTTAATTCTAAATATTATCGATTACGCGAACAACTTGATTCGTATATTCGTAATAAAAGCACAATCGGTTACGTAACTCAACGCGAACAGATTGTATTAAAGGATCAAGAAATTCTCTTGCGATTGACGCACTTTATTTCAACGTGATAAGTTCTGAAAGAATTAAACAACTCTTATCACGATGATGAGAACAATCGAGAGAAATAAAGTTTTATGAAAGCCGAAGTCGCTTAATAAAACATAAATCCATCGTTCCGACCATGGTGATTATTGAAACAATACATTGACTCCTCTTTATTGTTTTTATTTTTTCTTATTATTTGTTATTATTGCGCAAACTTACACAATATTAATTCAAATCACCGACTTAAACCAGAATTCGCCAAAGAAATGTGTCGTTAAGATACACCTGATCATTTTTTCTTTTTAATTTAACATCTCGAATGTTGTATTTGTCGTCAAATATATTAGCCGATATGTTGGCGAATTTAATAAGCTCGTGTACTGATAATTGACTGTCGCAAATAACGATTTAAAAAAATACATATTTTCTCCACTTTTTTATGATGTTCTATTTATATTATCTGCAATAATAGACAAAACGAGTCTTGGCATTGTATTTTGTCCGGATACACTTGCATAACACATTTGATACCTAGTTATACTAACACGACTGGTTGCACGCGCGTAAGACTGTATTAAAATATCCACCCAGACCAGCTGACAATATTTTACGTACTACTTTCATAAATTTTTTCCATCGAGATAACATGTATATGTATATATATATTTTTCAATAATCCCTTAAAGTTTGGCGAAAACTCATCATGAAAGATGGCATCGTAACGCACTATGCTATTATGCGACAGTTTTAAACCGGTCAAACTTATAATCGCAAACTGAATTCTCGATGCCGCGGCCTGATATACGCGGAAGAATATTACACGCACAAATATATATTTGTTCTAATCTCTGAGAAACCGCCACGTTTAACGACAACGTTTTTCAGTCAGCAGTAAGAAATGTTTTGTTGTGACAGTAAAAAAAATTTCTAATGTTTATTTTATTTATTTTGTTTTAAAAGAGCTCTGCCGAATAATCACGTATATCACACTTGTTGATCGGATTAATCGATAATCAAAGTGATCGACGTTTCGCCTTACCTATGTTTCAAATGTTAGCCAGAATTTTCTTTCAACCTGTGTCGCGTTATGAAAAAACCAGTAAAGGTCAGATGTGATGTTTTCACTGCGTGAAAAGTTTTTTTCCGTTTTTTCTTTGCCAACATCTTGTAATCTCGACGAACAAAGTGTTAAATCGCGAACAAAATTTTTGTTTACACAGAGCGATGTATCTCAACAGTGCAGTTGTACAATGAACTCCCGAACAACTAAATTTTTCCGGTCACGAGATGTCATGGATGTTCTTCGCTTTATTTCATTCATGGATTATTGAGTATATTATTATTATTTATGCAATTTGAAACAGAAAAAAAAATAAACCGGTAAAATAAAACCTGTACACCGCATTACACGTAAATAAAAGTAAATTGTTCGTAGCAAATACAGTTTTGCTCTCTTTCATCCATTCATTTCAGAAAATTAAGCACTCGCATCTTACTTTGCGTATTTGTGAGGCGTAAAATCGACATTTCATCCTTTATTCGGAAATATTCAGCGTTTAATCTCCAAGAGCGGAATATGCCGAGAATTTCAGCGATATATGGGACTGACCACGCGGTCACATGAATTCTGTCGGTTTTATATATTCGACGATTCTCTCCGAATTTCTAAAATATAAGGAAGTGCAAAATATCAAATAACGCACAAAGAGGATCTCGTTAGATTTCCCAAAACTCGCGCGGCGTGTAAAGATTTATTTATCGAGATTTCAGAGAAACAGAGATTTAACGTTTTTTTTTTTTTTTATGTAAAACACATCTTTTTTGAACCGACAATTAATTATTCGAACAATTATGCTGAAAGAGTTTCAGTAAAAAGACTGAAATATATAAGAAAACGAGAATGTATGATAATAAAAAATGAAGAGACGTGTCTTCACACTAATGAGATACGGATTACGGGAGTTGGTGATCAAGCGTAATATCGTTTTACGAGTTCGCCAGAAGTGTAACCGCACCGAAAGCATAATTCTAACGTACTTACCGTCTCGCTCGTTTCTGATTGGGTCCCGTGAGATTCAGGCCGCAGCTGTTACATTTCAGGCACTCTTCGTGATAGTGGTTGTTGTCGTACAATGGTGACGGTTCTTGAAACAATAAACACAGCGATAGACACAAGATCGATCTCTTGAATGAAGGATGTTGCACAATATGTGGCAAGTGTGTGCGTGTGTGTGTGTAGAATGATTAAAGAATTTAATAAGAAAAGAGAGGTCTATAATATCGTTAGAGAATTAATTCACGTTTTCTTTCTAAGCATAACTGTATAATAAAATGTGTACACTATGTAATAGATTTTTAGAAAGAAATTATATATAAATCTCCAGTAAAAGTTTTTTTTATTATTATTTATTTTTCTTCCCTTTTCATTTGCGCGCTGTCTCGTGCGCTTATTTAATTTAATAAGTTTTGCTAATTTGCACTGTATATTATTTTATGCAATGTGATAGTTCTGTCGTGTGTGTTTTTCTGAGTAGTTGAATTTTTTCGCATCTCGATATATATATATATATATATATATACACAAAAACACACACGACAGAACTATCACATTGCATAAAATAATATACAGTGCAAATTACCAAAACTTATTAAATTAAATTATATATATATATATATATATATATATATATACATCTGTTTATCTATCTTTCCGATTTATTGCAAGTCTGTCTTTGCAGAAAGTTCAATGTATAGTTTTGTAAGTCGAATTGATATTTTGCAGATGAATGTTCCACATCCCGGTATCAAACTAATCGGCAACGTCCAACGTTACAGTATTAAGATTTTTTATTCTGCAAGCATTTTTCACACATTTACGTAACATATGTCATGTCATTATTATCAAAGTGCACGACACTTTGCAGCATAAGCAAGACTTGCTCGTCATCTTGTTCGCGCGTTATCTTTCTAGCTCAATGTTTTCTGAACATTCTTTCTCATATATTCTTGTGTCTTTACTTAACTACCTTTCCACGAAATTGTGCTGAGCCAGGGTGTGGTCGTTGTTCTCGTGACAGCGCACACCACACCACACACCGACATCAGAGGCCGTAAAGAATTCCAACGCGTGTTAGGTATGGAATTTTGATATTAAGAGAAAAGCGGATCTCTCTCTCTCTCTCTCTCTCTCTCTCTCTCTTTCTTTCTCTCTCTCTCTCTCTCTCTCTCTCTCTCTCTCTCTCTC